TGACAAACATTGTATGATTTTATTGACACTGCTTATATTTTTTTTGTTTTATTGATTTTGTAAATCTGTCAAACCATGCCCTTGGAGATTGCTTCCGACTATAGAGTGTCTTTTTTAATTTGTGTACCTTCTAGGGACTGTCAATTCAATACCTAGTGGGATGTCCATATATACTTCTTCCTCAAGATCACCATTGAAGAAGACATTCTTCACATCTACCTGATAAAGTGGCCAATCAAGATTTGAGGCGAGTGAAAGAAGTACTTGAATTGTGTTGTGTTTGGCTACTCGAGCAAATGTCTCCTGATAGTCGATCCCATAGGATTGAGTGAAACCTTCGGCTACTAGACGAGCATTATGTCGATTTATACTTCCATCTGAATTGTATTTAGTTGTAAAGATCCACTTGCACCCTACTTGATGTTTTCCTAGTGGTAGATCTAACAGTTCCCATGTTCCATTCTTCTCAAGCGCTCTAATTTCCTCTTGAACAACTGTTCTCTATTCAAGGATTTTAAGAGTTTCATAAAGAACTACTGTCTAGTCTGCTCACAAAAATATGGTGATCCGAAGACAACTTCTCTAATGAAATAAAATCTTATATAGAATGTTTGGTGCATGCTGGAGTCCCTTTTCTCAAGGCAATAGGCAAATCAGTGTCAGTATCAATAGTAGAGATAGAAGTCTCATTACCTGTCAATTTCTGGATGTCTGGAGCGGGGATAGATTCATGGCAAAGCTCGGTGGAGTCAGATATTTTCCCTTCTCGAACCTTGTTTCTTCTAGTGTAAACATGTAACTTATTATTTGCATGTGCTGTTATTGTCATTGGATCAGGTTTTTTATGTGAAGTTTCAGGCTCTAGAGGGAAAGAATCTGGTGTAAGAGTCTGTGAGTAGAGGAGAGGTATGCTTACATCCCACAACTGATATTCCTGAATAAAGTTCTCCCCCTGAATATGAGTTGTAGGATAATATGGTTGGTTTTCAAAGAATGTGATATTCATAGTGTTGTAAAATTTATGGGTGTCCGGAACTAGACAATTATATCCTTTTTTATTCGATGAGTATCCAATAAATATGCATTTAAGAGCCCTTGGGTCAAGTTTTCCTCGGAGATGGGTATGTATATGGACATATGCTGAACAACTAAATACTTTGGGTGGTAATGTGTTTAAGAGATGAGATTCAGAGAAAGCTCGTGAGAGAGTGGTGTGTGGTGATTGAAAACGTAAGACTCGAGAGGGCATTCGGTTTATCAAGTAGGTAGACGTGAGTGCAGCCTCTCCTCAAAGATATTTGGGAACATGAGTAGTAAACATAAGTGATCTACCCACCTCAAGAATATGTTCGTTTTTTCTTTCAGCTACTCCGTTTTGTTGTGGAGTATGAACACAAGAACTCTAGTGAACAATCCCATGTTCGGTCAAGTATTTACCAAGGGTTGTTTTGAAATATTCATATGCATTATCATATTTAAGTACTTGAATTTGGGTATAAAATTGTGTTCGAATCATGACATGGAACTTTTGAAAGAGAGATCCAACTTCAGATTTGTTTTTCACAAAAAATACCCAAGTTATTCTCGTATGATCATTAATAAAGGATACAAATCACTTACTTCCGGTGATATTGGTGACCCTGAAGGGACCCCACACATCGTTATGAATTAGTGCAAATGATTTTAAAGGTTTATATTGTAGACTAAGAAAAGAACTGCGAATATGTTTGAAAAACTGACAGATTTCACATTGAAATAAAGTAGAATCTTTATTCATGAACAGTAAAAGGAACAACTTTTTCAGGCACACAAAGTTTGGATGCCCTAATCTATAGTGTCACAGCATAATATTACGATCATTATTTGAATGACTTACAGAGATAGCATTGTGAGTTTGTTCTCTAGAAGGATTGAGTTGAAGTAGGTATAGTCCTGAGCTTATCCTAGCATTGCCAATCATCTTCCCTGAGTACAAATCCTGAAATTCACACATGTTAGAAACAAACTTAGCCACACAATTCAAATTTGTACACAGTTTGCTTACTGACAGTAAGTTACAATCAAGATTTTGAATATAAAGAACTGAATTATTAAGAGTCAAGTGCGGTGATAAAATCACAGAACCCATTCCTGCCACTTTTGAGAGAGACCCATCCGCTATTCTGATTGAGTAGTCCTCTTGACACTTGCTCTATTTTTGAAACAGTGAGGCGTCCCCAGTCATGTGATCAGAAGCTCCTGAATCTACAACCCAAATCTGTTTCATGGCTGAATAGGCTGACAAGCCAAAAAGATTACCTTTATGAGCCACTGAAGCTACTGTTTTTTGGGACATCAAGCGTTGAAGAACCTTCATTTGTTATGGGCTGAAAGGGTTACTTTCCGCAACAGTAGGTGGCATTTCTTCTGCAGAAGCATGGTTTGTTTGGAGGATGCTTGGAGTTTCCGACTTGAAAAATTTTTTATCACTTGGTTTGCCGTGAATTTTCCAGCACTTCTCACGAGTGTGGCTGAGCTTCCTGCAGTGGTGACACCATGGTCGGCCCTTCTTCATCCGAGCATCTTGAGTTCTGGTTGTGAGCGCAGAGGATTCTTCGGCCAAGCAGGTGAAATGGGCATCCCCCATCATCACTCTTCGTCGACTTTCTTTTCTCCTAACTTCACAGAAGGCTTCACGAAGACCGGGCAAGGGTTTGATGCCTAGTACGCGTCCCCATACCTCGTTGAGATCTTTATTCAGTCCCATCAAGAACTTGAACACCTACTTTTGTCCAAGGATTGTCTTGAAGAATTTGGCGTCATCTGGACAGTTCCATCAATGCTCTTCAAAGACATCTGGCTTTTTCCAGTTGCGAGTCAGGAGATTATAGTATTAGGTCACACTCAGTTCACCTTGGCACAAGTCTTGGAGCGTCGATTCAATCTCGAAAATGGCGGACGTGTTCTCCTTACTGGAGTAGAATTCTTGAGCCGCTTCCCATATCTCATGCGCGGTCTCATACAGCAGAAAATTCTTGCCAATTTCAAGTGTCATTGAGTTTACGAGCCAGGACATTATCATGTTGTTCTCAATCTTCTATAACCGAGTGTTCGGGTCATTTGGCAGAGGAGGGGCGAGGTCTCTGGTGAGGGACTCATCTCTTCCTTTGCCCCGGATGAACAGCAAGACGGAAGATGACCACTGGATGTAATTGTCCCCATTTAGCTTGTGCCCGGTGATAAAAGACGCAGCGGATTCTCCCAAACCATGAGTAATCGGTGAGGGAAGAAAGGAGCCCGAGGAAACCTCGGGTGGAGAAGGTGGAGTCTCTCCCGTGGCCATTTCTGGTTTCGGCTAAGCGGAAAGAGCTCCTGGACCAGGTATTCTCTGATACCATGAAGAGAATGAAGCTTGTTGAGGCTAAGAAATTCTTCCTCTTTACATATTTATTTCCAGCACCAAGGGCCTGATACAGGTTTTACAACCAATTTCTGACCAAAAAAGGTATAACAGAATTGGTGACAACAAAAGGAATAACAGAATTGGTGGCAGGGTACACCTCACCAATTCTGTTATTCTGCCCATTAGCATAAGGGCAAAATAGAAAAACAGAAATTATTCCCTCATTTTCTACCAAAGGCATCATGTAGCTTCAATCGAGTCACTTGCATGACTTTCCAGAAAAAGTATTGACAATATCATAAAGCAGAGTGAAGAGAACATTAGAGAGGTATTTGACGAATGACAATTTAATGGCCAAGAACATCACTGGTTTTGTTGCATCTAGCAGATGCAACTGATTAACAAACTAAGAACAAAGAACAAAGAAACATGGATTTGCAGATAACAAGAAAACAAAAAGGCAGAACAACAAGATAAAATACAAAGACGATAGAAAATGATGGAGCAAAGTGGAAAACATATTAAAAAGAAAAAGAAAAAGAAATCGGGCCAAGAGAGAAGTTTTGGTAGTAGGGAGGTGAGAAGAAAGCAATTAAGTGACAGAATACTTGCTTGATAGATTAGTTTCATTCCACAATAAAATAGAAGAATAAAATGTTAATAGATTAGTTTCATTCCTTCTGCAATGTTCACATTTTCTTTTTCAAGTTTATCGTGCCAACAAGTGTAAATAAAAAGATCACCTTTTGTCCCCTTTTTCAGCAAATACAGAAGACAGGTTCATGGAGACAGTTTTATTCTTAATGGCACCACAAAAATCAAAGACGCTTAAAGAGTTTCACTAAAATTTAATTCAATTCACAAGTCTCAACTTAAGGTACATAAGAGGTACTTAAAGAAAGAAAATTGTTCCCTTAGATGTTGCACAAATTGGAAGGTGATAAACATCTCATCATGGAGGAAGAGCAATAGATGGGAGTACCTCATACTCCGACTCAAGTGTTCTAAGGTTTTCCATCGTAACATCAGACTGCATATGTTCAGTGACCTTCACATGGGAATGATCTAAATTTGAGAGCATCTCATTGTTGCCAGGTCCAGCCCTCGCAGGTAAATCATTTTTATCTTCCCCAATAAAGCTGACTTCCTCTCTTATTATAGGTGTAAACTGAGATAATTTACAATCTCCTTCAACATCGGGATGTGGTGATGAAAATCCATCATGTTCGTCAATAAAAGAAACATCCTTTTGGCCAAATCCATCTTTTGCCAGCTTCTGGAAATATGACCAACGCTTAGGTTCATGATTTTCCATGTTCCAGCTCAAACCAGCTCCATCCTGATGCAGGGTACGAATAGCAGGGGAATCGTCAGAAACCGTTGCTTTAGAAAATATATCAGAGAAGAAATCAGGAGGGAAATGGTCATCAATATTAATAACAATGTCTCCCTGCTCAGAAGTAGAAACTCCAACAGAAGCTTTAACTGGATGAATATCAGGCTGCGAAGTAGAAGCTACATGGTCCACAGCAGGAACTTCATTTCCAGCTTCTAGAGGATAGTTTTTCTCAAATTTAACTTTAAGCATCGTATCCTTGTTTGCAGCATCATTACCAGTCACAGGGCCTGAAATTACCTGCTCAAATTCAGAGTTCAAATGTTCCTCCCAACGCTTTGAAGTCCGAGAAATTGCCTCAGTAACATCTTTGTAATTTTGAAGTTGCACAAAGCCATCATGAATGCTAGGTGAATTTGTATACAATGGCTTTGCAGTTGAGGAGGGTTCAGGCTGGATATTCAGGTTAGCAACATGTGATTTTTCATTAGATTCTTTAGCTGGCTCTTGCTGTGCAATAACAGAATGTGAGTGAGACATAAGAAACTGAGAACCCAGTGAGTCATTGGATTTTGATAATCGATTAAGCAACTCTAACTGTTCCCTGGGTATTCTCTCTGAATAATATACTCTCTGAGGAAGCACATGCTGCTCCAGATAGCTCAAATCAATCAAATTGGACTCAGGATGAGCATAACCATGGCCGGATGCATTACTAGATGATAACTGATGCACATCATTACCAGACCTAGGAACATCAACACTAGTTGCCGCATCATTTGAGGAAGAAGCCTTTAGTGATTCCATGACTTTTGCCTCATTTCTGGGGGCCAACAAATGTAGATCTTCTATTGCAGAGTTGATTGCCACTGGTACCTCCTCAACTGGACAGCGATTTATCATGTTATCATCACATTCTTGCAAAAGCAGTTGGTTATCCTTTTCTAATGGCTGCCGCCTTTCAAGGTTAGTCTGTTGTCCAGCTGTTATATCAGGTTTTGGCTTTAGTGCCTGCACTAGCACCTGCTGGTTGTCCGATTTTAGACCATTGTATGGCTGTCTTTCAGTCAAAACTTCTCGTTGATTCACATGGCCAGGAAGATGCATAGACATAGAAATGTCTATAAGAGAAGTAGAAGAATCGTGGTTACTTGATTCAAACTGCTTGGTGTCCCTATGGTGCATGGTATGACCAAAAAACTCTGAATAAGTTTCATCAACACTGGTGGAACTTGGGAGTACCGGTTGAGAAGACTGAACGAGTGATGATGAGACCATCATTCCAGCCAACAGTGAAGCACTAACCCCAATCGACTCTCTTGCAACTCCAACTGCATCAATGTTTTTTCTATCAAGTTCATCCAAATTGTTTGCAGAAGTGCTTTCTAAACCATGAAGGATTGAGTTCCTGCTAGATCTCAGGTCCATGCCGTTGACAGCTACCACATACTGAATCTCAGAATCACCATTACTGCTCCCCAGACCAAAATCAGCCTCATCCAAGTCACTCACAGAGAAAAGAAACATTCTGAGCTTTTGTGGTCCTTCTCCATCTTCCAGTTCATTACATTCTTCCATCATATTGTGAATATCTTCATCAGAAGATACTGACACCAAGGCATCAAGATCCTCACCAGGAAGCTGATATTTTATCACATGAGCCTGGTTATAAATTGCTAAAGTTTTCTGCTTGAGCTCCTCCCAAGAAATGTTTTTCCTTATACGCATAATACGTGTTTCACCTCCAACATATCTCAGCTTTCCATCACTAGGTCGTGGAAGGGCTTTCCCACCAAAGCTGCAAAGAACCTTCATCCTTGTGGATAAGCTTTTAGAGGCTCTAGATGGAGGATAACCATGTGGAGTTCCCTGATTACGATCATAACATGGTTTAGATTGCGGCACTACTTGCACTGAACCATACTTGTTTCTGTCATCGTGAAGAGATGAGTTGTGTCTGTTAGTCTCTTTCGGACCTTTCTCAATTGTGGTGGGCATTGAAATATCTGAACTGCTTTGAGATCCTCTATGATCGATACCCAAAATTCCTTTTAGTTCCATACAACCTGGTGTATAATTAGGGTCACCCACAGCATCTGGAATGGAAGGCTTTCGAATATGTACCCTATCACGCATAAATTCAAGAGAAAACTCCTCACCTGTCTGGATTGAGTAATTAAGCACAGGTTTTATTTCAGGAACATTTATATTTTGAGGTCTCATACTCATACTCATGCTGCTTATAGACTCTAGCATAAGTGCCTGAGAAGCAGAATGGAATTCATCATTTCCATTTCCAGTTTCCATGGAATTGTATGGGAAGTACTTCTGACTGCTTGACTGTTCCATTATAAGAGCGTCTGATTCCCTCTATGTATGTAACCTCAATCAGCATAAAGCCCATCCAACAATGCCACAAGAAATACATGAACCACATCTAGAAACAGCCATGCAAACAAACTGAATCACAATTTCTACTCCCTAGATAACAGTACCAATAACTATTGTTGCAGCAAAGTTAAAATGGTAAGACCAAACAGAAATAGGAAGAAGAAGTTTGGCAATTCCCAGGTGTCATAACCTGGAAGGAGACTTCCAGTTGCTTCAATGATCTTAGAGATAGCCAGCATCCCTGCAATCAGACCTGATACAATCAAAGAGTGGAAAGGAGAAAAAGCAATAAGTAGTCATTCGTGAATATCTACATATCCAATGTTAAATACAGTTCAAAGATTATTTCTGTTAATTGACATCCTAAAATTAGTTTATAATGGTACCAAGGAAATGGTGAATAGTATCAACCCTTCTTTAATCAAAAAGATCCAACCTTGTGCTGGAAGAAACATTAGCTAGGTTTCCATTAACTTGTGGATGAATGCAATCTTATGAACATATGTTGAAGGTAATCAATTAAGAAGAAGAACGTGTACTATCTCACTTAAAGAGAAAGAGTTACTGAGACAAAATCTAGGTAAGCATGCAAGAAAAGGCTAGAAAGACAAGTGATGGCTCTCCATCTTGATAGTATCCAACATATTCTAATGCTCTTGAATGGCTCATATTAGCATATGCTGATCTAAAAATTGTCGTTTTCATTCCCCTCTTCCTCTAGTCCTTCAAGGCACTTCAATCTTAATTCAGAGCCATGTCTTATTTTAGAAGCTTATGAAACTTTAACCAGTTTCTTGTTGACTTATGTAGGAGAATATTCATAGTGGGGAATTGTATTTTACACATTGATTTGTCTGGCAATCCAGAAAAAATAACATATGATTATATTTTAAAATTCTCTTGGTTTCCAAAATCTATATGAAAACAACTTCATAAAAGTATCAACATACATATTCAAGATAGCAAATCGTCTTCATCGATGCATACAAGTGTGTGTTCCTATGCAACGTACTATGCATGTATGCATGGACACATCTAAGGTATTAGCTTAAATTAACCAAGGAATTCCCAACTCAAAATCACTAAGAAAAATAAACCTACCAGAAAAATATTATAAAACATACTGCTAATGATCATGTAATAATCACACAGATAATTGAAGGGAGCTCAAATTAGCTATCCAAATCAAGTTCTCAAAAAATCTGCCTTTATTAATTTATTAACCGTTACTGTCATTATTGGTCACAATTATCAGACAAGCAAAAAACTTAAGTACCCTTTTGAGTAACCAAATACACTGAATCAGATGATTTGTAAAATAAAAACGCCTGTTTAATTAATATGATGATATTTCTTCAAACGTGAAATAGATTTAACTCAAAGTATAGTAAATATACTGAGAGATATCAAAAGCATTACGTGAATGGAGGGAGGAGGGAGATGACTTAAACTGGCAATCGTACCTGAAGAAATGAAGGAGATGCATTTTCAAAGTCCAAATGTTTGCTCAAGAAGGATTGAGCAAACTAGCCATCAACTTATTGAATATGCCTCTCTTTTTAATCTTAAAGTGTAGGAGCAACACGTGAATCTCCATTTCCCTTCATTTCTTGCATCAACTTCCCTTTCAATCTTTTTTACTTAATGGTGCTTGCTTTCTTATATATTCTTCTGCAGATTTTGGAATCCTTTTAGGCGTTAGTTAAATCACTCTTCCAGTTGTTGCAAGTCCAGCTTACTTTTTACTTCTTATAATGTGATTTTTTATGTAACGAAATAAGAAAAGATGTTCAAATTTGTGTATTTATGATTAGAGATAGAAAGGAGAGCCATTTTTTTGGTAGAGAAAAAACAAGCTCAGAGCTTCATAAGCCTAAGCCAATATAGAGTACAGCCATGTCACAAAAAGTAAAGAATCAGAATGTCTCAAGCCAAGAGGATAGCTCTATGTCAAGTTGGTAAGGTGCTCAGCACAATGGTTCTCTTCTGTAACTGTGTGAATGATCTTGACTTCCCAATCTCATGAGACATCCTAACAAGCTAAATAAATTCAACAGAGGAGCCAAAATTATTGAACTTTGCTTATGTGAATATCTAACAACCTAAATAATTCTCTTTTCCAACTGAGAGACAGGGAAATTGTCAAAAGGGAAAATTTTACTGACAAATACGTAAACCGGAAGAAAAAATACTCGTAGTGGATACAGTTAATAAGACTATGGCCAGTGACCACAAAGGCATTCAACGAATACTAGTTATGTTACTGAAAAGGAATTGATGCCCTTAAGCCTTGGAAAAACTGTCAAATTTAAGTTTGCAAAACGATTTGAGACACTTAAGTTTCTTTTACCATAAGACATAGTCTGAATAAATAATTGGGAATATGAATTAGTACCTGCTCTTAAATAATAGCCAAGCTTAACAAAGTTCTGCCGCTAACAAAACACACACCGCCACTTTCTTCAAACAAAAAGGAAAAATTCTAACAGGATCTTCAATTATCTGCAACAAAAACGATAACTAAGGGCAAGGGGAGGAAAAAATAGTACCAAGATTAAAAGTAACTGCAGTTAATCTGAGCACAGCCATCCATCAAACTCATGTATGCAAGTGTAGTTGAGCAAATAAACGTCAAAGAAAAAAATTCACAATCTCCAACAGAACAAAAAATAACATGTCAAAATTCAAGAAATCACCAATAAATTTTTATCATCAACATCCATTAAGTGATGTTAGTCATCAAAGCCCTAATTCTTATTGAACTAATATTATTGAATTGTGAAAAACCACCAAGGGGATAAAATGAACCATTCCAAAAGTCTAAAAATTAGGAAAAACCAAAGAAAAAAGGTAGGAAAGCAAACATCATTTTCACTCTCATTTAAGCTTGTATAAGTAGGACAGAAACCAAATTCTAGTTATTGCATGTAACTTTAAGTCAACAAATTTTTACAGAAAATGTTAAGAGGCCATTTATTTAAATATTTCCAGATTTCTACTCTTAAAAAATAGAGAATCTGTTTTAGAGGTTTTCTAACTAGAAGAGAAGTTTCTAACTAAGAGTGTTCGGCTCTTTCTTTTTGTTGGGTAATAAGAGCTTTTAGTTCTTCAAAATGCGAATTTTCTTCTTTTATTTTTGAAATTAAAAACAGCAGAAAAAGCATGTCTGGTAGTTGAAAACAAAACATTCTTTAAGAAAATACATAAAATTATGGCATGATTGAATAATAAAAGGTTGTTCAGCGTTTTTACAAATCTGTATGCAAATATATACTCTTTTTTCTATTTATAGACGTAGATATATATATAAATGCACAGATGTATAATATGCACGTAAGCGTGTACATATATTACATATCCGAGAGTAGTCTCCTAAAACATAACAGTCACTTAGGTTTTCACAAACAGTGCAACGTTTAGAATCTTACAAACTTATTGCACAGGTAGAATTTATACATAACCAATTCAAATTGAACTAGAACAAAGAAACATATAACAGACTAAAAAGTACCAGAGGAAAACCAAGCAACAAAGAAACTGCAGCAACTAACTTCAATCTGATCAACCGTACAGTCGGAAGGCCAAAAATCAGCTGATCAAACTATCTTCAAAAAACAGAAAGAAGAAAGAAATCAAATCTTATATTCCGAAATTAAAACAAAAACAAAGAAACAAAAGAAAGAACAGTTAAGAATCGAAATCAGATTACCTGGAAAGAAGTGATGAAGAACAGGAGGAGATGGAAGAGGGGCGATGGTGTGAAGTGAGGAGGAGAGAAGATAAGCGCGTAGGAAGGGTGAAGTCACAAAATTTGTTGGTTAATGGACGTTCTTTTCCAATTAAAATTGTGGAAGCGATTTATATGAATTTAAAGATCCAGAGACTGTTGCGGGCCCCAAGTAGAGTTGGTGGAGGCTGGGCCATGTTTCACTTTAAACTAATTTCTAAGCAACACGGTTACGTCGTCGTTTTGTGGCCATTGATGGCGCTAAGTGGGCCCACATTGATGGAGAACGAATAACGTGGCATGGGACTGAAAGGGTTTAAATAAAACATGACTAATTCTTTGGAATAACATTGTGGGTGCAAATAAATATAACAAATTATATTTTTCCACAACTGATTTAAAATTTTTATATTCTATTTAAAAATATAAATTCAAATTTTATTAAAAATATAAAATTTAGTGTTTTATCAATACTTATAAATTAACAGTTGTGGATTAATTTATAATATTTGATTCAATAAAATTAATTATTTTATTAATATATTAATAAAATTATAATTATTAAATTTATTTAAATTTTAATAAATTTATTATGTTTTAATTGAAATATTCTGGTGATGACTTTTTTTATTAAAATAATCATAAAAAATTAGAAATTCAATTTAATTTTTTTTAAAAAAATTAAAAATACTAATTCATGCATGTATGTATATAATTTATGTTGGTGACTTTTTACTATTTAGTTATACAGATAATATCAAGAATCATGAAATATTGAGAGCTCGAAACAGACAAAACTCAAGGAAAGAAACTCTTAAAAGTATGTAGTTTTTTTAATTTTATTATAAATTATCTAAAGATAAGATTAGAATATATTTAACTTCATAAAAGTGATTAGAAATAACCACTTAATTATATCTAAATTATATAGTTTTATAGTTAAGTAGAAAGCATTAGACCGCCGTACAGACACTTTTCATAAACAACAACAGAGGTTTCGGATGCAACCCTTTTGTTACTCAAACATTCAGTGACAATTTTGTTCAGTCAAGGGTAAATAAACAAATGAAGAAAGAAGAGAAAAGAAAAGAAAAGAAAGAGAAGGGAGAAAAGAATACAAGTATGTTGAGAGAACCTCCTCCATCAAAAAAACAATTTATGGAAGCTAATTTCTCCCATCGCGCGCTATTTTGTGTGTGACAATTTACCGATAAACTTATTATATATCAATCGTGCAGGTGCAACAAACTGTGAAACAATTACTTCGATGTCTTCTGAGCATGTGCCTTTGTTTGGCTAGCTGCTGCTGACATTACACGCAAGCGGCTAGCTATTTCGGTGAAGGATGGCCTGACTGCAGGGTTAGGAGCCCAACACTGTTCCATTAATGTTCTCCATTCAGGATCACAGTAGCTTGGAATTGTTGGCCTCAATGTGTTATTCACAATGCCTCCTGCATTCACAAACATAATCTTTTAAGCAATATAGACGCTCATATAATCCTCGAGGGAGAAGACAAGCTGCAGCATTGACAAATAACCTATAACGGACATGACGGACTAACAGAACTGTATCAAATACTTATTTTCCGCGTCCTATCCTTAGACATCCCGTACTTTTATATACTAAATTATTTCCTTTACACATCCAAGAGGTTATGCTTTTGGATCATTTTTTTCTTTGGGTCTGAGAACAAGGATCGTGGTGATGCAGAGATTTAATAACTATGGACTATATCAGTGATAAGACAACTTGATGACAGTCAAGTGTTCTATGCTCTTTTATTTTTAGAATGAAATCATTACCGCTGAGATTTTTCTTTACCCAAGTCTACGGGTCTCCTTATCCTTGCATTAAGGCCCAAGAATGTTATATGCTCTTTTATATCATTTGGAACAAAATCACTATTACTGACTTGAAATCAAGAAGTCAATTCCTATTATTCTTCCACCATTTTTTCCAACTCCCAAAGTGTTTTTTGGTTGCTGGGTTAGATGGAATCATTAGCTGTCTAATGCAAAAACCTCCATAAAATCCATCCTAGAACGAAATATTTCCAATTAATAATCAATGCAAACTGTCAAGCAAGGTAAAAAAGGGGGAACTAAAAAGAAAAATTTAATCTTGCCTATTATTGCACCATAATGCATATTGGCATATGGTTCCTCTCCTGTGAGAATCTCCCATAAGACAATGCCAAAGGAGAACACATCAACCTGCATAACAGACATCCATAAATAGAATATGAAGTTGTAGAACCAGAGATGAAACACTAGACAAGAAATGAACATTATCAAAATAACCAAGTTAAACATGCTAGCTGTTGCTAACATTATATGATACATGCAGGAAAATTTCGCTCCCGCAAGAGAAGTAAAAGTTTATATCAAAGTTGCTCCACAGTTAAATACAAGGAAAAAATTATGATATGAAAGAACCTTCCTCCAACAGTAACAAGAATACTTCTGAAACTAACTTCAGCTAATAAGCAAACTTTCCAGTTGTTTTTTTTTCCCTGAGAGAAACTTTCCAGGGTTTATATGCAACAACAATTCATTAACTTGGTAAAAGCTGCTTATTGTGCCATCATGAGACCTGCTTTTGTATGCAATAGATTACCTTCTCTGAGACTTTGTTGCTGCCGCCATTTAGAAGCTCTGGGGCCATCCACGGAAGAGTTCCCCGCACGCCACCAGATACCAAGGTGTTTCTCTTGATTTTTGACAAACCAAAATCACCGACCTAGGAAAAGCAAAATATGTTGAAAATGTTGATGGCCAATAAAAAATCTATAAATGGATAAGCTCTCCTCTGAAGTAGTAAAAACCAGCTTTACCTTGCAAATTGGTCGGGAGGGATCTTTCAAGTTGACTAGTAAATTATCACACTTCAAATCAAAATGCACAATATTCTTTGAATGCAAATATTCCATCCCAAATGCAGCATCCATAGCAATTATTAGCCTCTTGCGGCGGTCAAGGTACCTGAAAATTAAACCTTGGATGAAATAATATGAAGAAACAAAGAGGCGAAGAGCTGGTAGGATATAACATTAACAACAATGATGAAATTATAATAATAATAAGGATAGCAATGACAACAAACAACATAACAGGAACAGCAGCAATCATGATAACAAGTTAATAATGACAATTGTGAATAGCAGCAGGATTATAAGAACAACACATGTAACAGAAAAAACAATACAAATGTTTAAGTGAACAAATATTCCACATAAGTCATGAGTCAAAAATCCGCTTTAACAGAACTCTGCTCTGAAATCCTCTAAGAAGGCCCGATATCAGTATTTCAATGAAATTCTAAAAAGTTACGACTTGA